CACATACGAACTGTTTCTTGCACAAATACATGGCATGGAGATGTCGGCCGAACGGCAGAGGACATGGTGAAGCAGAACCACAAAGCCATGTAAACATGGTGACACAGAGAGCAATACTGTTCATGTGCACACGAGCAACTCCTCCTGCTCACCATCTCCTTGCATCCAACGAGAGCCATGTGCCCGTACAAGTGCACACACATGTGCCCGTACAAGTGCACACACATGTGCCCGTACAAGTGCACACACATGTGCCATGCACCATGCCCTCCACACTCACTCCCTGGAGTCCACTCAACCCTCGCTAGATGAACCCCCTCCCGTGTCAAAATGAATTCAACCGACGGATGACTCGCCTGCATTCAGCTACCCCCCTCTCCGATTCCACTCCCACCCCTCCTCCTGCCCCTCTCCCTGCCACTCCCCTGCCCCTCCCCATGCCCCTCCCCCTGCCATTCCCCCCCTCTCCCCCTGGCCCTCCCCCTGCAACTTCCCCCCCCCCCCTCCACGCCCACCTGGCTCGGTGACGTGTTTGAGCAGCGCACCCCCGCGCCAGTACACGCCCACGTGGCCCTCGGGGATCTGGTGCACCACGCCCACGTGCGCGCCCGCTGCTGGCAGTACCACCTGCGCGCGCAGTGGCCACCGCCCGCGGGTGAGGAAGGGGAGAGGCAGGGGGGAGGCAGGGGAGAGGCAGGGGGGAGGCAGGGAGGAGGCAGGGGAGAGGCAGGGGGAGGCAGGGGGGAGGCAGGGGGGAGGCAGGCGCGAGCGAAGGCGGGCAAGGGAAATCACGGGAGGGGATTGGAGCAAGGGGAGCGTTTGAGAAAAAAAAATAGACGAGCAAGCAAGCAAGCAAAAAGGCGTGGATGGCGGCAACTTGAGGTGGGCGGAGGTCTTAGGAAGGAGGGACGGGCGTGTAAGGTAGCGTGCGACCACTCGTACTGCCTTAAGAACTCTCGTCGTCGCCACCATATGAACTTCCTTGTAAGCGATTCTTTGCAACTCGGTAAAATAGAGCCCCTTTGAGACCATGGGCACGGCCTAGGCCCCACGGTCGATCGGAATTTATTCTTAGAAATATGTGGGTGCGTGTGTGTCTGTGTGCGCGTGTGTCGTACCGCAACCCAGTCGAATGAAACGGCGCTAGAAATCTACCCAGCATGACACGAGAGTCAACGACCCACGCCGTGCGACTGGGATGCGATTTACGTGCGAGACCGACGTGCGACCAGCGTGCGACGATCGTGCGAGCGTGGCGGCAACCCACCGCGATGACGGCGACGAGCGCCATCAAGGCGACCGCAACAGCGGGCTCCGACGCGCCCGCCACTGGCGGCGCGTACTGCGCGCCGTGCTGCCCAGCGGGCCGCGCCGGGGGATGCGGTGCAGCTCTATCGCCGTCCATAATTGCGCCTCTAGACAACCGCGCTCCCTATCCCCGGCAGCAGATGTTGAACGCTGGGTTGTGCCGTTGAGCCACCCACCACGCTCGACTTGAGCAATCGTAAGGGTCTCTTGCTTCAAGCTGAGGGAAGGTCGCGAAGCAGATTCATTCTTCTCACTGGAAAATGGGATGGGAGGCCAAAAAGCAGGGAGAATTGCGAATTGTCAGTAACAAGGTTCTCGATACCACATTTAGAAAACAGACCACCCTAACGGTCACTACAGTGATTGCTAATGGTCACTAAAAAGGGCAGAGACTTTAAGACCTTTTTAAGAACCCGGGCTGATTTTCCAGCAGTTTTTTTTTTGGTTGCGTAGCAACCCTTTATTTTGGTTTGACATTTTGGGGATATCATTTGAAGAGCAATTTTTTACGCACTTTTTGGAGCACCCGCTTGAATGTTTGGAACTGTGTTCAAACGGATGCCACAAATATTGAATAAAAGCACTCTCAAATGAGATCCCCATAAATACCGTACGTATCATGTTAAAATCATGAATTTGCTCGACCGTCCCAGCATCGTCGATAAATACGGCGGATGGTACAGCCGAGCATAATGTTCTGGTATCAACATGCACGAATGGAATTGTACAAATGAACAACAAAGTATCAGGTGGAGTGGTTGCTTCAAAATGAATGTTAAGATGCATCATATAGCAATAGAGGTTGATGGGGTTGTTGAAACAGCGAAAACACGCTGCCCCAAAGACGATTAACAACCTCTAATACATACATGACACATACCAACACCACACTTTGAAACACACATCCCACAAACACAAATGCAAACGCTCGTAAAAGGATACAACACGTAACAATTGTGAACGAATTGAAGTGGATGCTCAATATACACCAATGCTGCAACTGAGATTGATGGGGTCGTTGAAACTGCGAAAACACGCTGCCCCAACGACGATGACAACCTCATATCACAAACACGATGCATATCAGCACAACAACCCCCTGTGAAACAACCAACTGACATGAACACACCCGCACAAACTGACCTGCACAAACACACCCGCACACACATGCATACACAAATAGGATTGAGAGCATACATGCATAATGAAGAGTTGCAATCAGTTCATTATGTACCAATCACTGCTAGCTTGTCCCCCCTTCCTCCCCCTTTCCGCCTTCTCTCCTCTCCCTCTACCATCAAAATCTCCTCCCACCCTTTTCCACATTCTCTTCTCTCTCGCATTCCCCTCCCTACTCCCCACAACGCATCTTGCACACCTTGTAAAACAAACAGGTCAAGTAAAAACTGAATTGTCGTCGGGGAACGCATTGAATTATTCAATGACGAGCACATGCTTGATTGTGAAATGGAACTTGATAAGCACGTATCTGTTGAAATCTGATGAACATTGATACAAAACAGAAATGAAACGCAATTCTTGCAACAAAAGAAACCGAATTTGAGGAATCACAAGCGTGGTTTGAAACATTGATCCCCACGCACACCACGCTGGTATACAGCAAGGCTCCAGTGAGCAACGAGCTGGGCATTGCCATGCTCCAAGGCGCCAGAGAGTTGAATCAAGGAACCGGCAGGCTGAGAAGAGAAAGCGGGCTGTTGTAGCAAGGCGTGAGCATACGGCAGCAAGGCGTGAGCACACGGCAACAAGGCGTGAGCTCACTGCAGCAAGGCGTGAGCTCACTGCAGCAATGCGTGAGCGTGCGCAATAAGGCGTGAGCACACGGCAGCAAGGCGTGAGCTCATTGTAGCAAGGCGTTGTCAAACATTATACATGTTCATATTGTGTAGGCTATAGTGGGTTTAGCCTTAGGGGGTACAACATTGCTAGGGTTTCCTACTTGTATCACCCTGCTGCCTAGTTTCACACATTCTCGTTCAGTTCTACATTCTAACATGGTATCACGAGCCTAGGTTGCTACCTAGGACCGCTTTCTCCTACGGGCCCACTATTCCGCTAGAAGCGCCCTCGTGCGCCCTACCTTACGTGCGCCCTCGTGCGCCTTTCTATACTCGTGCGCCCTCGTGCGCCCTTGTGCGCCCTACCTTACGTGCGCCCTCGTGCGCCCCCGTGCGACCCGCCCTTCGGTCTGCCCGCGTGCCGTCCTGCAGCCCTCGCGCTGCCTCCTGCAAGCTAGTACGGCCCTCGAGCCGCCCCTGCAGGTCCGTCAGGCCCCCGAGCCGCCTCTGCAGACCCGTCAGGCCCCCCCGAGCCGCCTCTGCAGGCCCGTCAGGCCCGAGAGCCGCCCCTGCAGCCAGCGCGCTGCCCTGCCGAGCCGCGTGTCGCCCGTGGGCGCTGCCTCTGCCCCGTCGCGCTGCCCTGAGGAGCCGCGCGCGACCCCCGCTATCCCGTCGCGTCGCCCTGGGGAGCCGCGCTCGGCCCCCGCTGCCCCGTCGCGACGCCCTGGGGAGCCGCGCTCGGCCCCCGCTGCCCTGTCGCGACGTCCTGGGGAGCCGCGCTCGGCCCCCGCTGACCCGTCGCGACGCCCTAGGGAGCCGCACGCGACCCCCCGCTGCCCCGTCGCGACGCCCTGGGGAGCCGCGCGCGCCCCCCCCCCCCCCGCTGCCCCGTCGCGGCGCCCTGGGGAGCCGCGCGCCGCCCCCCCCCCCCCCTCGCTGCTGCCCGAGCCACCCTGCAGCCCGCGAGCCGCCTCTACAGCGCCGAGTGCGCTCTGCCAAACCCTAAAATAAATAATTAATTATATAAAAAAAAAAGGGAGCAGCTGCCCCTGGCCCCTGGAGCAGCCGCCCCTGGAGCAGCCGCCCCTGCAGCAGCCGCCCCTGCAGCAGCTGCCCCTGCAGCAGCCGCCCCTGGACCTCTGCAGCCGCCCCTGGCCCCTGGAGCAGCCGCCCCTGCAGCTGCCGCGGAGCCCTCGCCCTGCAGTGGTAGCGGCCTCGCCGTTACCACCGTCGTACGCCTGCCCTTCTCGCCACTGGTGAGCACTGCCCTGCCCGTATTGCTGTTATTGCTGCTCCTGCTGCTACTGCTCTTTCTACTTCTACTGCTGCTCTTGGCGTGGCCAGATGCAGCTCCAACGCCGTCCGCGTGAGTCCCTCACGCCCCAACAGCTTCGTGAGTGGTATGCTGGTTGGGGTTGTAGGGGTGGCCGCGCTGCTGCTACTACTACTGCTACTACTACTGCTACTGCTGCTCCTGGCGGTGGCCAGATGCAGCTCCCGCGACGTCCGAGTGAGTCCCTCACGCCCCAGCAGCTTCGTGAGTGGTACGCTCAGCGTGGAGGGTCACGGGGTACTGCTCGCTGCCCGTACGTCATTCGCACTGGTGCTCGGACTGGTCAGCCTTGCGGGACGTTTGGTCACACAGAGTCCCGCTGCTTCGCCCGTCTGAGCGACGCGGCTGAGCTCCCCGACTGGGTGGAGCTGCTTAGGCAGAGGGTAGATATCTATGCTCTTGACTATGATGCTATCCTCACTGCCATGTATGCATTTCCTACTAGTGCTGAGAGTGCCTGTCACCTGTGTGTGCCGCCTGACCTCGGTATCCAGTCTGCTGCTCTAGGTACTGGTGAGGCTGCTGCACTAGGTGCTCGTGTGTCTGTTGCCCCAGGTGCTGGTGAGGCTGCTGCTCTAGGTACTCGTGAGTCTGCGCCCTCTGGTACTGCGTCTACTGAGGCACTGCACACCTTCACACTGGACTCAGGCGCTTCCCGCTGTTTCTTTCGTGACCGCACTGCCCTTGAGCAGCTTGCTCGGCCGGTTGCAGTCTCCCTCGCTGACCCCTCTGGGGGTCCGGTCATTGCGACCTCCTCTACTGTTCTCCTTTGTCCTGCGGTCCCGTCGGGCACTCTGTCAAGTCTCTACCTCCCCTCGTTCTCTACGAACTTGGTGGCGGGTAGTGCGCTCCAGGACGGGGGTGTCCACCAGTTTACCCCTGCCTACGAGCGTGTGACACACTGCACGTGCGCTCGGACGGGCCGCCACCTGGCTACCTTCACTCGGCAGCCGGGGTCGGACCTGTACACACTGACCACTGAGTCCCCACAGGTAGCTGCGTCTGCGTCTGCGTCGGGTCAGCTGTCTGCCCCCTGCTCGTGTCGCTCTCTGGCACACGAGACTGTCCTCTGGCACCACCGTCTTGGTCACCCGTCAGTGCAGCGCCTTCGTGCCATGCACAACCGGTACCTTGTCTCTGGTCTTCCCAGGGTTCTCCCTCCACTCCCACCCTCGCCTGCTCCTCCCTGCCTTCCTTGTGTCGAGGGGCGGCAGCGCGCCGCTCCTCACTCCTCCTCGTTTCCCCCGACGACTGCTCCCTTGCAGACGCTCCACATGGACGTGTGGGGCCCAGCCCGCGTCCGTGGACAGGGTCAGGAGAGGTACTTCCTGATCGTTGTTGACGACTACTCGCGCTACACCACGGTCTTCCCCTTGCGCACCAAGGGTGAGGTCCCTGATGTTTTGATCCCTTGGATCCGCGCTGCTCGTCTCCAGCTCAGTGAGCGGTTCCACTCGGACTTTCCTGTCCTGCGTCTGCACTCTGACAGAGGTGGTGAGTTCTCCTCTGACCTCTTGGCAGCCTACTGTGCGGAGCACGGCATCCGCCAGTCGTTCACGCTTCCGGCCTCTCCACAGCAGAATGGGGTTGCTGAGCGCCGCATTGGTTTGGTCATGGAGGTCGCTCGTACCTCCTTGATCCATGCGGCTGCCCCCCACTTTCTGTGGCCGTTTGCGGTCCGATACGCTGCGCATCAGCTCAACCTCTGGCCCCGTGTCTCCGTTCCGGAGACTTCGCCGACACTGCGTTGGACGGGAGAGGTTGGCGATGCGTCGCGTTTTCGGGTCTGGGGGTCCCGAGCTTTTGTTCGCGATACGTTCGCGGACAAGCTCTCCTCCCGCGCTGTTCCCTGTGTCTTCCTTGGCTTTGTCCCGGACGCGTCTGGTTGGCAGTTTTACCACGCCACCTCGCGCCGTGTCCTGCCCTCTCAGGACGTCACTTTTGACGAGTCCGTGCCCTACTACCGCCTCTTCCCCTACTGCACTGCCCCGCTCCCCCCCCCGCCTCTCTTCCTCGCGCCAGGTGCTGCTGTGGTAGACCCCCTCCCCCCTCAGGGTGCCGCTCCCTCAGGTGTGTCCCAGGTAGACCCGGTTGAGCCTGTCGAGGTAGCTGTCGACTCTCGTCCTGCCAGGGGTGCTGAGCCTGAGCATGCGGAGCCTGGGGTTGCGGAGTCTGGGGGTGCTGAGCCTGGGGGTGCGGGGTCTGGGGGTGCGGAGCCTGCGGGTGCTGAGTCTGGGGGTGCTGAGTCTGGGGGTGCGGAGCCTGCGGGTGCTGAGTCTGGAGGTGCTGAGCCTGGGGGTGCTGAGCCTGGGAGTGCTACGTCTGAGAGTACTGAGCCTGAGCGTGCTGCACCTGGGGGAGGCCTCTCCTCGCAGCAGCTGCGTGAGTGGTACTTACAGTACTGCAGCCTCAGGAGAGGTGCTTCTGGAGCTCGGAGTGGTGCCGGAGCTGGTGCTAGTGCTTCCCCTCCTAGGCGGGAGCTGCCCTCTCCCCAGCAGCTCCGAGAGTGGTACGCTAGGCGCTGCAGTCTCCGGAGTGGCGCTCCCGGTGTCGTGGACTCTGGAGCTTCTGGAGTTACTGGAGGTGCTGCTGGTGCTGCTGGAGCTGCTGGAGGTACTGCTGCTGCTGGAGGTGCTGCTGGCGCTGCTGGAGGTACTACTGGTTCTGGTGCTGCTGGAGCTGCTGGAGGTGCTGCTGCTGCTGGCGGTGCGGCTGGCGCTGCTGGAGGTGCTGCTGGTGCTGCTGGCGCTGCTGGAGGTGCTACTGGTGCTGGAGCTACTGGAGCTGCTGGTGGTACTGCTGCTGCTGGCGGTGCTGCTGGCGCTGCTGGAGGTGCTGCTGGTACTGGTGCTGCTGGAGCTGCTGGTGGTGCTGCTGGCACTGCTGGAGGTGCTGCTGGTACTGGAGCTGCTGGGGACCCTGCTGCTGCTGGCGGTGCTGCTGGAGCTGCTGGGACTGGCCCTGCTGAGGGGGTTGGAGCTGGAGGTGCTGAGCGGCCACGGCCGTACTACGTTCCGCTCCTTCAGCAGGTTCTTGGCCTTCCGCCCTCTCCTGGTCCTACTCCTCCCCTACTGAGTCCACCGCTTGTCCAGTCGCAGTCACAGTTACAGCCAGTCTCTCCACTTCCTGGTCCTTCTCCCTACACTGCGCCGACGGGAGGTCTTACGGAGCGTCGTGAGCCTGAGTCTCGTCCTCCGTCGCCTGAGACGCGTCCAGAGTCGCCTGTCCGCGCTGTCCGCGCTGGTCGTCGTGTTCCACGTCAGCGTCCTCCTCCTGTCCTTGGCACTCACTATATGACCCTGCATCCCTCTACTGCTCCACAGCGTGTCCCACTGCCGTCTCCACCAGCGTCCTCTCTTCCTGCTCTTGCTGACCCGGAGTCTAACTCTCTTCGTGCTGCCAGTCCTACTGTCACGCGTCTCCTTGCCACTGCTGTCACTGACCCTTCCTTTGAGTCCTCTGCTGCATCTGCTCTAGTCGCTGAGCTTGTTGACTTTGCTGCTGCCTGTCGTCTAGACTACGCCGCTAGCCTTTTTGCTGAGTCTGAGTCTGAGTCTGTCTGTCCTCCGTCTGTCGGGGGTGAGTGTGCTCTTGGCACGGACGTCCTTGAGGACAGACAGGAGGAGTTTGAGTGCTTTGCCGCTGCTTTGCCTCATCTCGTGTCCATGCTAGTTGCCCCTGAGGGAGACCCGGATGCACCAGACATCCCGACCCCACGCTCCTACGCAGAGGCGATGGAGGGTCCCTACTCCTCTCAGTGGCAGACAGCCATGGACGCAGAGATGGCATCCTGGAAGTCCACAGGCACCTACGTCGACGAGGTTCCCCCACCTGGGGCGAACATCGTCAGTGGCATGTGGATTTTCAGGGTGAAGCGGCCGCCGGGTTCTCCGCCTGTCTTCAAGGCGCGTTACGTTGCACGAGGCTTCAGTCAGCGAGAGGGAGTTGACTTCTTCCAGACCTTCTCCTCGACCCCGAAGATGACCACTCTTCGGGTTCTGCTGCACGTCGCTGCTCAGCGTGACTACGAGCTCCACTCTCTGGGCAGCCTGCACGAGGAGATCTGGCTGCGCCGCCCACCTGGCTTCACTGGGTCGTTCCCTCCTGGTACCCAGTGGAGCCTCCGGCGGCCAGTCTACGGTCTCCGCCAGGCACCCCGTGAGTGGCACGACACACTGAGGACTACTCTTGCTGCTCTTGGGTTTGCTCCTTCTACTGCTGACCCGTCGCTGTTTCTACGCACCGACACCACTCTGCCGCCGTTCTACGTTCTTGTTTACGTAGACGACTTGGTCTTTGCTACTGCTGACACTGAGGCACTCGCCCACGTGAAGTCGGAGCTGCAGAAGAGACACACGTGCACAGACCTGGGTGAGCTGACAAGCTATCTTGGCTTGCGGATCACCCGGGACAGAGCACAGCGCACCATCACCTTGACTCAGTCACACATGGTGCAGCAGGTCCTTCAGCGCTTCCGCTTCACGTACTCCTCGCCTCAGCCCACTCCTCTGCCTACCGGTCACTCGCTCTCAGCTCTACCTTCGGATGAGTCCGTAGAGCCGAGTGGCCCGTATCCAGAGCTTGTGGGCTGCCTCATGTACCTGATGACCTGCACTCGACCTGACCTGGCATACCCTCTTAGCATCCTAGCACGCTATGTCGCTCCCGGCCGTCACCGGAAGGAGCACATGGATGCCGCTAAGAGGGTGTTGCGCTACTTGTGCAGTACGTCGGGCATGGGGCTCGTGCTTGGAGGTCGGAGCGACGTTGTCCTCACGGGTCACTCAGACGCTTCTTGGGCTGACGACCAGGCTACGCAGCGGTCGTCTCAGGGTTACACCTTCAGCCTTGGCTCTGGTTCAGTTTCTTGGCGTTCTACTCGCTCTTCTTCTGTTCTCAGCTCCAGTTGTGAGGCTGAGATCTACGCCACAGCCATGGCTGCACAGGAGTTACGCTGGCTCACCTACCTGCTGACCGACCTGGGAGAGCGGCCTCGTTCTCCTCCAGTGCTGTACGTTGACAACAAGGCCGCCATTGCCTTGTGTGAGGAGCACAGACTGGAGCACAGGACGAAGCACATCGCTCTGCGCTACTTCCTTGCTCGAGAGCTGCAGCAGCGTGGTTAGCTTCGTCTGCGTTACGTGGCCACTCGGGCCAACACTGCTGATGTGTTCACCAAGGCGCTTCAGCCTTGTGACCATCAGCGTTTCTGTACTGTTCTAGGCCTTGTGCCTACTCTCCCTCACTTGCTCACTTCTTGACTCTGCTTGTACTGTGATCTCTATATATATATACCTGCATGTTTACTCTTGTTAGGTTGTGATCACTGTACCTCTTGTTATATTATCAAACTGCATGTGAACTGGTCTTGTGACCACTTGCTTGTGCTCGGAATTTGTGTGGTTTCCTTGAGATCCACCCTGAGCTTGCTTTGCTTTGCTTTGACTGGTCTTGTGACCATCTGGTTGTCTCCCACTTAGCCTATGGGGGTGTGTCAAACATTATACATGTTCATATTGTGTAGGCTATAGTGGGTTTAGCCTTAGGGGGTACAACATTGCTAGGGTTTCCTACTTGTATCACCCTGCTGCCTAGTTTCACACATTCTTGTTCAGTTCTACATTCTAACAGGCGTGAGCTCACTACAGCAAGGCGTGAGCTCACTGCAGCAAGGCGTGAGCTCACTGCAGCAAGGCGTGAGCTCACTGCAGCAACACATGAGCCCACTGCAGCTATGTTGGAAAAGTCGCGCCCAGCGCATTATACACAAGCGTATATACGCTTGCGTATAGTACGTTATGCGCTGAGTGAGTGACTTTGAAAGTCGCAAAAAGTACGCTGCCCGGGCAGCAAAAAGTTTTTACCGGGCAAACGAAAAAAACCTCGGAAGGGGGGGGGGGGGGGGGGGGTGGTGGTTTTTCTGAATTTCATATATTGAAAAAACCTGACATTCTCAACTACTCTAAGCAAGCAACATGCATCTCCTACCCTATCCTCCCCCCCAACCACCATCCGCCCATGCTACACTACTCTACCCCACCCCCTACTCCCACCCTCTACTCCCCCCGTCCCTTCGTTCCTCCTCTACTTGTACTCATCCTCCAGCTCATCCTCCTCCCCCTCCTCCTCATCCTCCTCCAGAACCTCCTTGCACCCTTCCGGCAGGGGGGCCTCAGAGATGTTCCCCGGGAGAACCGTCACCCCTTCAGCCCCCTTGTGCCAGTTGCGCATAATGTTCCAATTGTGCGCAACATACACGAGGTCCCGACACTTCTCGGACCCCAACCTGTTGCGCTTGGCAGTGTGGATCGATTCCCACACTGCACAGTTCCTCTCACATGCCGATGCGGACACTGGCTGAGAGAGAATGCGGCAAGCGAGCGTTGTCAGCTCGGGGTGGTCCGTCCCGTGCCACGTCGACCACTGGACGACCGTCTTCTTACCGGCCTTCACGAGCTCACGGTCAGAGATGGCGTCGGGTAGGCCGAAGCTCCTCTGAAGGGTGTTAAATGCCGTTAGGCCGTCCTGGATGACGTGGGATGCACGCAGCTCCTCGCCCTCCTTGCGCGTGACGGTCCGCCCCACGAAGTGGCGAGCGACGAACGCTTTGAAGACGCGAGTACACCTAGTCCGCGGTATATTAACCGCCGCTATCTTAACCGCGCGAGGGTACTTCTCCTTGGTCAAACTTTTTTATAAGAGTAGTTTTGAAATCTAATGAGGGTATAAATTAGCATACCCTTTGTGAGACGATGGCAGTCAAAACCCGGTCAATGCCGATCCGCCCTCTATTTCGGAGCACTAAGTGTGAGTTTCTTTATAAGGAAATGATTCTGGCTGCAAAACAATAGCCTTGAAGTCTCTGGGTGCCCATCTCATTACCCGAAAACGAACAAAGGGTGTTTGAAGCGAAACAGTTCACGTGGTTAAAATACCGCGGACTAGGTGTACACTCCAGGTCGGTCCGGAAGATGCCTTCCTCTTGGTTGACCGGGTTGAGGATCCGGCCAACCACGTGCATGGCACACGCCATGCTATGGTCCCAGCGCTTTTGGACGATGTTGGTCACCTCCGTGCGTTCACTACTGGACAGCACCATTCCCGCCTCCTCCTCCTCCAGCTTCGCATTGATGTCTTCCGTGAGCTGGAGCATCAGATCGTACATCCTGCCCATCATGCCCTTGGCCGTCGAGTCGGTCTTGCGCATGACGACAAAGGGGATCTTCAAGAGGGCGACGAAGAACTCTGCCCCTTTCCACCACACGGCATCCATGATCATGTCTGCGAAGGGCTCGACCGGCGGCTTCCTCCCCTTCGCCCAAGCCTGCCACTCCGGGCTCAGCACCATCTACGTCAATGCATTCCGCACCTCGCAAAGCCGCTGCACCGCGATGAATTGCGTGCCAAATCTGGTGCCCGCCGGCTTCAGCACCTGCTTCCCCTTCCCTCCCTTCACTTGCGGGCTTCTCACCTTTGGTGAAATGGTGGGCACGCACAAAGGTAATAATCACCCCCGCCTTAGCCACAATGTCCTTCGCCCAATCCATTTTCCCAATGTCCACCATGAGCAGATCCATGACGTGAGTAGCGCACGGCACATGCTCAATGTGAGGATACTCAAGCATGAGTTCCCTACATGCAACCGCATAATTGCTGCCCCCATCCATGCAGAAGGCAACTATGTTGGCGAGCCCCACCTTCTCAATGATCGGGCGCAAAACAGATGCAATGTAACCCCCCGTCTTCGTCTCCAACTTACAGTCGATGCTTTCGGCGAACACAACACCAGAATCGTTGATGAATAGGATGTTGGCTTGGGGACGGCCACTTTTGTCCGTCATCATGTACGAACCTATCGTCACGCCATCCCGCTTCCAGCTCGCAGTGATGGGAGCGAGCCCCTTCTCGATCTTTCCGCGGCAGCGCGCAAGGCCGGCGCCACCAACATACTGCCGACTCGGCGGAATGTAGCCATGGCCCGCGTCCGTGATGCAGCGCACAGCGTTGCGCCAGAGAGGGTGATCGGCGAGATGCTCCGGGAGGTGAAGTGCCGCCCACATGAGGCAGACCGCGTCGTCTGCCGAGTCCTTCGCACACGACGCCCTTGTCAGAATGTTATTCTCTAGCCTGTAGTGGGGTGCTCTATAGCGAGTACAACCCATCTAGGGTTTGCTATATGTATCCTCATTGCTGCTAGTGAACTCCTCTCTTTTTGCCTAAACTTCTCTTGCCTAGCTAGGGCTTACCTAGCTATGGTTCCTAAGACTGCTCGTTCTTTTAACATGGTTTCAGAGCACTCACGCTCCCGGCCTGTGGGCCCTACTGCTGCTTCCGCTGCCCTACTCTGTGTCGCGCGCCCCGTGGCGCGCGACCTCCAATTTTTCATCCCGCCGCGCGCTCGGGGCGCGCGGCGGTTTTCTGCCCGCCGTGCGCCCCGAGGCGCGCGGCGGTTTCCTGCCGTGGGGGAGCCCGCGCGCGCCCCGCCCGTCCGTCGCGGCGCCCTGGGGAGCACGCGCGGCCCCCACCCTGCACGTCGCGACGCCCTGGGGAGCCCGCGAGCGCCCCGCCCGTCCGTCGCGACGCCCTGGGGAGCCCGCGAGCGCCCCGCCCGTCCGTCGCGACGCACTGGGGAGCCCGCGAGCGCCCCGCCCGTTCGTCGCGACGTCCTGGGGAGCCCGCGCGCGCCCCACCAGTTCGTCGCGGCGCCCTCGGGAGCCCGCGCGCGCCCCGTCAGGCCGTCGCGGCGCCCTGGGGAGCCGCGCGCGCGTCCCCCCCGCCCGTCCGTCGCGGCGCCCTGGGGAGCAGCGCGCGCCACCCCCCTCCACCCGCCCAGCCCGTCCGTTCTGGCGCCCTGGGGGTCGCGCGCTATCCCCCCCTCACCATCCCCCGCGCTCCTGCCCCTATCCCACCCGTTTTAGGGTTTTGGGGGTGAGGAGTGTGGGGGTGATGGTTGTGGGGGTGTCGGTTGTGCGCGCCGTCCCCTTCTCCTCCTCCTCCTTCGTCTCCCACTGCTGCAGCTGTCGCTGAGGGGGGTGGATGTGTGGGAGTCTGGGGTTTAGGGTTTAAGGGGGGTGCTGTGGGAGTGGAGCTAGGGTTTGAGCAGGGGGTGTGTGAGAGGGGCGTGGGGCAGCTGGGGGAGGTTGAGTGGAGGCAGCAGTCTTGTCGCCAGCAGCACCAGCAGTCCGGAGGCTACAATCTCCGGTAGTCGCCAGTCGCCTGTGGGTCAGTTGCTCCGGTCTGGAGGCTGCAATCTCCGCGGAGCCAGTTACTCCTGTAGTCCGGGCCTTTGCTTCGGTAGCCACTGAGCCAGCAGCTCCTGTGTGTCTGCAGCTTCAGCAGTCGCCTCCCATCTTCTCTCCCCCACAGTCTCTCCTCCTCCTCACTTGCCCTCTGTGATTAGCTCTAGCTTTGCTTACCTTTGTGAACTCCTGCTCTATACCTGCTTGCTCATTGTACTGATTACACCCCACTTTGGCTATGGGGGTGTGTCAGAATGTTATTCTCTAGCCTGTAGTGGGGTGCTCTATAGCGAGTACAACCCATCTAGGGTTTGCTATATGTATCCTCATTGCTGCTAGTGAACTCCTCTCTTTTTGCCTAAACTTCTCTTGCCTAGCTAGGGCTAGCTATGGTTCCTAAGACTGCTCGTTCTTTTAACAGCCCTTTCCCCGTAGAAGTCTTCAATACACTGCTTCTTCGATCCACCCGCACACGCCTCGATCACCATCTCCTCCGCCTTCTTCTTCCCTTCCCTGCGGGCGTGTTTGCCTTCGTACAATTCGCGGACGGCGCCGCGGTCAGCAGCAGGGATAGGCGCCTTGCAAAGACGGACGTCCTTCCGTTTCAGCCCTTTCCAGCGCGTGATGTGTTGCGCACAACGGAAGGCGCCGCCCACGAACTTAAGCTTGCAGTGCCGGCATATGCGGAGAGTACGCTCAGGACCATTCGAGGTACCTTCAGTAGAGGTAAGGAAATGCTTTAAAATAACACGGGTGTTCACAGGAACATCCTCGTCGTCCGCCATGGTCGCGTCATTCGAAACACTAGGAGCCTCACTAGTGGCACTCGCGGGAGTACCAGTAGGAGTCGACATCATGTGGAGCTGAGCGGGAGTGTTGAGAGAGAATGGACGAGGAGAGAGATACTACAGATGACGGGAATGAGCTTACCTTATAGTCCAGGATGTGGTTGAACCACCTACGCTGGTTGACGACATTCGTGTTTGTGTGTTGGAGTCGCGCGATAGCATAGGGTGCAATGCGGTTCAAATTTTCCCACGTCCCCAAATTTTGACAGGTGTGGGTGACCATGTGTTGGGTCGTGCGTACAAATTGGGTTGGGACGTGCGTACAATTTGAGTCGCGTCGCACATTCGCAATTCATGCACGACTATTGAAATCTGTTTTTTTCTCCGGTCAGCCCGAACATTTCCTACGAATATACGTACGAATTGCATACACCGTATATTTGTAAACGACTATACGGTGTGCGCCTATGGTTTCTGGCGACTTTTCCAACATAGCACTGCAGCAAGGCGTGAGCTCACTTCAGCAAGGCGTGAGCTCACTACAGCAAGGCGTGAGCTCATTGCAGCAAGGCGTGAGCTCACTGCAGCAAGGCGTGAGCTCACTGCAGCAACGCGTGAGCTCACTGCAGCAACGCGTGAGCGTGCGCAATAAGGCGTGAGCTCATTGCAGCAAGGTGTGAGCTCACTGCAGCAAGGCGTGAGCTCACTGCTGGAAGGCGTGAGCTCACTGCAGCAAGGCGTGAGCTGACTGCTGGAAGGCGTGAGCTCACTGCAGCAAGGCGTGAGCTCACTACAGCAACGCGTGAGCTCACTGCAGCAACGCGTGAGCTCACTGCAGCAACGCGTGAGCTCACTGCAGCAACGCGTGAGCGTGCGCAATAATTTGCCAGCTCGCTGCCACAACAAGGCAGCAGCGCACAAGCCGCCAGCGGGCTGCAAGGCGCAAGCGCATTAGGCGCCAGCGAGTTAGGCGCCAGCGCGTTAAGGCGCCAGTTAAGGCTCCAAGGCGCCAGCGCTCATGGCGGCAAGGCGCCAGCAAATAAGGCGCCAAGGCGCCAGCGAATAAGGCGTCAAGGCGCCTGCGAATGAGGCACCAAGGTGCCAGCGATTAAGGCGCCATGGCGCCAGCGTTTAAGGCGCCAAGGCGCAAGCGATTAATGCGCCAAGGTGCCAGCTTTTAAGGCGCCAAGGCGCCAGCGATTAGGGCGCCATAGCGCCAGCGTTTAAGGCGCCAAGGCGCCAGCGATTAAGGCGCCAAGGCGCCAGCGTTTAAGGCGCCAAGGCGCCAGCATTCATGGCGCCAAGGCGCCAACGATTAAGGCGCCAAGGCGCTAGCGTTTAATGTGCCAAGGCGCCAGCGTTCATGGCGCCAAGGCGCCAGCGATTAAGGCGCCAAGGCGCCAGCGATTAAGGCGCCAAGGCGCCAGCGATTAAGGCGCCAAGGCGCCAGCGTTTACGACTGTAGCGGGGGGGATAACGATACGGATATACCTAAGAGGATGGAAAAACAAAATAACAAAATAAATTTGTTATATATAATGGTGCTGCGTAACCCTTTAGTACGATATTCACCTTCTACGCAACCCTTACGACGTTCATCGTCGAGCCTTGTTTTTTTTTTTAATAAAGGAAAAACTATGGGATTCCTAGTGTAAAATGGCATAATATGGTTGGTTTGTCTGATTTTCAGCTTAATTTTTCGTACCTGCTCTGATTATTCAGCCTAGGCCAAAACAAATCTGAGGTCCTGCTAGCCGCACTCGAAGCTGAGGGGGCGAGCTGCATCCCGTATGGCGTATTGGACACGTGTAGCTATTGTTAACGGGAATGGAGTGTTGGCCCCGCCCTCGCTTGGGCAACGCCGACGACTTGGTCGGATGTACGAGAGTAGCAGACGACCGTTCACAGTGAGAGAGCTGGACAGGCTTCGTCGAGCTGCAGGGGATCGCGCGACTCGCGGGCTGCCGTAGGGCGCGACGCGCGGGGCAGCAGGGCGCGACGCGCGGGCTGCAGCAGAGCGTGACGTGCGGGGCAGCAGCGCGCGACTCGCGGGCTGCCGTAGGGCGCGACGCGCGGGACAGCAGCGCGCGACGCGCGGGCTGCCGTAGGGTGCGACGCGCAGGGCAGCAGCGCGGGCGTAGGGCAGGGCGCAGGCGCAGGGCAGGGCGCTGGCACATGGCAGGGCGCTGACGCAGGGCAAGGCACCGACGCAGGGCAGGGCGCTGGCGCAGGGCAGGGTGCTGGCGCAGGGCAGGGCGCTGGTGCAGGGCGGGGCGCTAGCGCAGGGCAGGGCGCCGGCGTAGGGCAGGGCGCTGGCGCAGGGCAGGGCGCTGGCACAGGGCAGGGCGCTGGCGCAGGGTGACGCGAGGCAGGGTAGGGCAGGGCATGCACTAGGCAGCGCGACGCGGTGCAAGGCAGGGCGTGCGCAGAGCAGCGCGACGCGGGGCAGGGCAGGGCGTGCGCGGGGCAGCGCGACGCAAGGTAGTGGGGTAACGTGGTAACCACAGTCGGTCGCTAAGTATGGTGGGCCCGGAAAAAAAAAACGGTCCTACCGTCCTACTGCTCTGAAACCATATCAAGATAGCAAGCAGGAATGATTGAATTGAATGTATTATGGGTACAAGTACTAACCCTAACATTAGGTTGTACCCCACATGGGCTACCCCACTATAGCCTACACACAACTAGCACAGATATGGTTTGACACTGTGGTGTTGCTATCGACCAGGGAGCTCGACAACTGCAACTGACTGGTCTGGGCGACGGGTGGATCGTCGACCAGGAGGGGCAATTCGACCAGGAGGTCGACGGAGCAGTCCGTCGACCTGCAGTCCGACCGGGAGGTCGACGGAGCAGTATGTCGACCTTCAGCTCGACCGGGAGGTCGATGGAGCAGTCTGTCGACCTGACAGGTGAGCAGCGGTCGACGAGGGGAGCTCGGCGACAACCGCTGACAGTTCTGGTTGACGGAGGGGGTCCGTCGACCAGGGGGTAGCTCGACAGGAGCTGTGGACGACCAGAGGCACCTGGTGG